ATCATTGATATTGCTGAGGACATTTTCAGTAAGATTAAAATAGTTCATCTTTTGTTTTGCCTTTTGTTTCAGACATACCAGAGGTTTAATATTTAAATTTCATATTTGATGTTGTTAATGTTGTTTTGGATGATCTTGTGACTTCAGCTCAGAAATATTTGACTTGCTTTGTTATAAATTTAATTTATCTTCTTGGAAAATGTTATACATAAATGTAAGTTTACTATTAACAAACCAATTTTTTCTGTGTTTTTGAAAGAATTTAAAATACATCTTACTACAATTTTGCCTAGGCTACATCTTCAGTGAATATGAAAGCAAGTAGCCTATTTGTAAGAATTTTAATGTAATGAAATTTTAATATCTTACCCTCATGTTCATTCTCTTATCTTCTTTTTTTTTCATTTTTTTTTTCATTTTCAGATAATCAGTTAACTTCTCATTTGTATTTTGATGGCAGTGAACACATAGGCCTATTTTATGTACAAAGTTGTATAGCATAAACATGTTATCTCTGTACTTTATTGAATTTTTTTTTTAAATGCTTGCTTCCTCATTATCATAATGCATAGATACTATATGATCATCATGCATCACATGAAAAAGGGAGTAAAATGAGTCTATGATCCAAAACCTACAATAGATGGCGCTAATTCCAGCCGCCAATAAAGAAGAAGAAGAAGAGTCTTCTGAGGCGAGGAGAGGAGAGCAGTTCACGGTATTTCTCGTATTCACACAACCATCTCACACACTTTATACAGTTTGATTAAGCGACAGACTCATTTCTGTATTGTTTTCATCGATCACAGCGATACTTGTGCGTCTTTTCTGGCGTCTTCCTCCTGAAATACACATTTAGTGCAGCAGCAGCAAGCCTGAGGAGAATATGTGGAGTTCATTCAGACCTGAGAGATTTTGTGTTCGTTTGTGTGATTGTCTCGATGTTTGGAGTGAGAACTGTTACTGAATGCCAAGACAAAAGTCAACGTTTGAGATCTGTGAGGGGAATCGATGCTGCTGTCGTTTAATTTTATCTTTAACATAACAAATTTGTTACTTGCTTCACATTGTCAAAAATATACTGGAACAGATACGGCTAAAACTTCAAATTGAGCTTATAATCAGTGTAGAAGCAACAGTATTTTCTTTCAATTGACCAGTTTTAGTCTTTTATCATGTACCCTGACTCAAATAATTTGTTTCTAACAGCAAACACTCAGAATAAAGTGAGATGATCTGCTGATGATCCTGAATGGCTTGTTGAATGAGTGTTGATAGTCTGAGGATCATCAATATTAACAGATCTGCTGAAAACACTCTTTATTTCATGACAAAAGTTCCTGTTTTCTCCTCTATTATGCTGATATGTTCAGATCTCCTATAAATTGACATTTAAAGAGCATATTGCAGGTTAAAAAAAAAATCAAAATTAATATATAACCTTGTATGAAAATACCATATGAAAAGGTAATGCAGGATTTAAAATGTTTTAAAACGACATAAGGGCACAAATTTAGTAGATAAAGTGAGCATTTCTTTGACTGCTCGTAAAAACCGTTTTTTTTTTCAACATCGCGTCATTTTACGCCACGAGAGGGAGGGAGCCTCAGCAGCGCAGATAGGTTTGTATGTACGAGCGGGTAAATTTGCTTTTTTATACTCAGAATGACAATTTGGAATGTAAAGAACAACATATTATACAGTTATTTGTTTTATTAGGAAAATACCATATACATAAAAAGAATTGGGCTTTTTTCACATTTTATAAATGACTTCACATTATATGTACATCCAGTGGCGGATTTAGCAAATTGGGGGCCCAAGGCGAAGGTAGTATGGGGCCCCCCATCTGATCTTTAAAAGAGAACGAAAAAAAAATGTTTTTCCAGAATAAAAAAATAATAAAAAAAACATTAAATGGCACTTTCTGGAGAGTTTTGTGCAAAGAAATATAGAAAAAAAAGTAGGTCTAGCAAGTCTTATATTTCTGTAATTCACACAGATCAAACACAAATATGCTGACTGAATAGATTGCTAGTTAAGAAATACTGCTTTAATTAATATTTTTATGATGACTTTGTGAAAGGTTAACTAAACAGCATGAGCCGTCTTCCAGCTGGCTAGTAAGTTATTTGGCAAATTTCATTCATACAGATCTGTATTATGCTATAGTTTCTGATAGTGTTATAAATACATTTCTTACAGATAATCACGATGAACATTGCGTTTGTCTTACCGAATGTGGTAGCTTTATGCAATTAGTTTGTCTATAAGCTTTTTTTTATTAATGCCGACAGTAAAATGTTGCCAGATATTGCTACGAAAACAAGAAAAAAATAATAATAATCCGAAATAATTCGGATTATTGTCTTTTGGAAATAAGATTAATATATCAGTAACCCTAACATGCAACTTACCACTTTAATAACTTCCTAAAGTGTCACATTAAATCAGAAAAACAGGTCCAGAAGACTACTACCACCTGTCCATTAGGTGGATCTGGCAACACTGGATCTGGCACCCGCGCGCGCCCTCACTCACAGCGCGCTGTCCAGCCCCGTTTACTGCGCTAGCTTCTCGCAGCAACATGAATTGCAAACACTCATATGAGGTGGTTTAAACAGCTAATTAATCATTCAGAGAACATTTTATTTTTGAATGTAAAAAATGACAGAGTTCCGGACCTCGGCCACCTCATAGCTGGTTACGGCCATGAACTTGTAACATATCGTTAGCACATACCGGGCATCACAAAAAAGTTTGTTACCTTCTGCAATTTTGCTAAAAACGTTTGCTTTCCTCCTGCTTCCTGCTTTTTCAGCACCGCTTGGGTAGCTTCTCTGTCTGTCACTCTGTAGCCTACACTGTCTGTCAATCACTTCTTTTTCTCCGTCAGTTTTTTGGCGCATTACAGCCTTGTCACTTTCGCACGCAGAAAGTGAGATAATGGAATAGTCCAATGTAGTGAGGTGGGGGGCCCTCTCCTGTCTCCGACACTAATGATTTGATGCCTTTTTTCGCAAATGTTTTTTTAGAAATATACAATTTGCGAAAAGTAAAAAAAAAAAAAAACTTAAGTATAATTTAATGGGGCATTTTGGGGGCCCCTAGGTAGCTCGGGGCCCAAGGCAATTGCCGACCTTTGCCTAATGGTTAAGTCCGCCCCTGTGTACATCTCTTGGAACAAACTAAAAACAAAAAAGCAATGAAAACATGTAATGCTTTGAAAGCACTGGATTTTATGTAAAACTTTTTTTGTATTTTTTATTTCCTGGCAGCTAGTGTTAATGTGATATTGTGAATATGTAAAACCTCGTGTGGCATCGAATAAAAAAAAAAGTCAGTGAGAGCGGTCATGAATCAGTGTTTTCGGTAGTTTTTGTATTTTAATTTATCATCGTCATGGTAAATTATTGTGTTTGTGGAGGTTGCAAAAACTCCAGCCTGTCAGGACATGGAGTCCACAGGTTTCCTAACAAGAAAAGGGACGGTGCTGTATATCTTTCGTGCCTGTGTGCGGTTTGTGCAGCTGTAGAGACAGGATTTCTCTTCTGCATCGGCTTCGAAAAACGCGGTCGTGTCTGGATGGATATTAATGAGCATGACATACGCGCCTGATCAAAGCTTAGTTTATTCTGTTATTGGTAAATTCCAATACTCCTAGATGACCAATAATAGCTTTGCTATTAACTGATATACGATGGTAATAATCTGTACAATATTGTGAGCACAATGTATATCGTTAGCGAACGTGTATAGGCTATATAAGTTAGCGGTGGTCTCTCACCACGACACCTGCCGTGGCGGCGTTTTAAATAGGCCTGCATTCCCCCCTGTGCATGTAGAACAACGACATTATCGAACGATATACACCTCACATTTTACCAAACAGAATGAACGATGCACTATTAACTCTATTACACTATTAATTAAAACTCACAGTGAACAGCATTAAATATAAAAACACATATGCCTTACCTTTTTGTTGCAGTGCAGTTTTTATTGCAGTGGTATAATGTTTTGCCGACAGCACTACAGTCCTCATTTTTTTATTCCTGCTTCCATTCTCCTGATTGCTATTATTTAATTTCTTTGTTAAAAAAACATCCAGGGAAGATTGAATAGGCCTGTTATTTTAATGTTTACTCAGTATCTGACAGCTAGGCTAATCAAAAATACGCGCGATTAAGTGATGCAATAAACTGCGGCTGCGCACACTCACTCCACACAAGTTTTTTTATAATAATACTTTTGCAATAATGTGTGTCTCCTCTGACCGTTGTTCTGTCTAACATTAATCCTGGCCTGTCCCTGCTCTCTCGGCAGCATAGCAGGCTCATAATTGTAAGGCTGTCGTCCGTGGTCTGTCATACGAGTAAGTCCGAAATGTCATTGCGATCCATTGTTTTCCTGTTGTTTGAATGGTTTGAATCGACCGCTCTCCCGCCCGTTACGTCACGCCCCTCACGCCCATTTTCAGATGCGGAAGTAAAATTCTCTCACAAAAACGACTCCAGAAGGCAATGTAACGTTTTTTTAAGTATATTTTAAAGAAAATCTAATTACTACACTGTTTTTCTATACATTGACTCGTTGGGTCCTCTAACCTGCAATATGCCCTTTAAAGCTCATTTCATTGGTGTCAACAGACTGTAATTTGTTGCTCACAAATATAGGTTTATTTCCGTGTCCATGCTTTCAACTGTTTTTTTTTCTTTTCTTTTTCTGACCACTGTTAATATTTGGAAGACATTACGTTATGATGTTAATATTCTTTTTTATTTTTTAGATATCTGCCTATGTAATGGAAAAAGCAGGAGAGTGTTATATTCATACAATAAGTTATTCACATCAGTAACTTTATTACAGACAGACAAACATAAATGCTTAGATGTGATATTAAGTATAAAAACAAATTCAGGAACTGATATTATTTTTTATTTTGTCAGATTAGCTCCTCCCACAGCAATTACATCATCAGTGAAGCTCCTCCCACAGTGAGAACATGAGTGATCCAGAACCCTGCAGAATGAAACACACTGAAGATCCTGAAGAACAAAGAGGTTGGTGTTTAATCTTCATTCATTCATGATGCTGGAGAACATTCATGTTAGAAACATTCAAGCACTTCATTAGATTTAGATAAACAGTTAGCCTAAACTATGAAATTGTACAGATTTTTTGCTTGTTTTCAACAAATGATGAGTAAAGGGATGTTTGAAACTTAAGCAAAACCAGACTGGGGCCTTCAGTAGGGATGGGCGATATATTTTTACCTAGTGGGCGTGAAGCTGAGGCTTGAGTTTATCGCTAATCTAGGAACTACCTCTACAATCTAGAACTGGTACACACATATATTTTCAGTTAATGAAAATGGTATTTCAGTTATTCTCAATGAATGCACAGTGTATATGACGTAAACACTAGTGTGAGGCGCACGACTCGCTGTCGCTTTGCTGAGAGCGCTAGTGTTTCTCACACACTTAAAGAAAGAGAAAGAGAGTCTTATAACTCGCAGAATTGACATGCTACATGTAAAACATATTAATTGTTGTATTTTCCTGTAAAAATAAGTTCATTTGAAACTAATTAGACTTTTTAAACAAGCAGAAACTAATGCGCGAACGCAGAGGTGATTAATATTCATGAACCCAGCAGCTCATCAATCATAAGTAATCCGGTCTATATTGTTATTCATAGTAGTATTATTATCTTATCAGTGTTATTTTTTTTTTTTTTTACATTTCTAACTTGTGTGCAATTATTATTGCGTGTTGTTTTTCAGCACAGCTGCACTATTTAAAGGCACACTATGCAAGAATTGTACCTTAATATAACAGCTTCAAAGTCGGTGGTAAACAAACTCATAGTAGGGTGAATCATCCTGGTAATAAAGCTTGGGGGGGGACGCCGCTGGAAAAACCAGCAATGCAAGTTTGAGAGGAGCGCCCCGACAAATCTCGCGAGAATCACGACATGCTTTACGGCAACGGCATCACACACATCAACCACAACATTTGAAGCATGAAGACACTTGCGCGCATTTCAGACGTGATACTCGACGATGGAAAAAGCAAAGAAAACGCGGTCGGAAGAGACTAGGAAAAGGAAAAGAGAATCTGGCCATGTGAGGAACCGGACAAGAGTCCCACTCGTCGGACTTTCACTCGTTGGCGCGAGCTAAAAAGCAGCACTGGATGCAACAGTGATGCTGACCTGGCGATCTTGTTGATGGACTAGTAAGTACATCTTTCTAAGTTTGTGTGCATTTTATTTTGTGATTTCACCGGAATGAATAGATAGTCTCCGCAACGGCGATAGATTGAAGAGCGCGTCTGAGTGAAGACTGCGCGCGCGCCGCCACAAGAGACAATATGTATCCATGGCACTGATAGCAGCGGACACGAGTGCTCAGGATGAGTTCAAAAACACATTTTAGCGCTAGATCTCTTATTTAAAGGCACACTATGCAAGATTTGTAGCTTAATATAACCGCTTCAAAGGAGTATCAGGCCGTGAGTGCAGAGACCAGTCTATGGCAGACGCTCTGCGTGAGTGGCATTTACGACAGTAATGTTAAATACAAGTACTCCACAGCAACTCTAGGTGTCGCTGTTTGGCAAAAATGGAATTCCTGCATAGTGTACCTTTATACATTATCTGCGCTGTAACAGAAGAAATGTACACCTGCATTTTTTTCCATTTCTGCAGGGGATTTTGGATTTTTACTGTGTTTTTTTTTTATTCTTTTATGTTATTGATATATTATAGGAGCCTATTTGATGACGGGTACGTTTTACTTTAGATCACTGTTTGTGTTTCTGAGGCTGCTATCACTTGTAGCCAAAAACAGTGGCGAATGGTACCATATTTATATCGTCATTGATATCGTTAGCACAATAAATAGCAGAATATATCGTGATATAGTTTTAAGTCCATATCGCCCATCCCTAGACGCAGTTTGGCCCCTTTACGAGCCTTTAAATGAAAGTGTTGCTAGACCTCCTCCTGCTATAGAGAGTTGTCCGCTGGGATAAGCTTCTTTAATACTGAGCGTAGTTTGGCCTCTTCTTGTTCTCCTCTGTTGCTGATCATCTTATCACAGTTAATATTCTCCACATTTCATTTTAATTCTATTTCCTACCTATTGGAGATAAAACATAACATGGACAACATTAAATGTAATCCTTTGTCGGTTGCACACATCTGCCATGTTTTGTAGTTTAAAACACTTTACTTGTGTTTGTAGTTCTGAACGAATCTTCCTCAAAATTGCAATGGGTTGTGGGTAATATTAGCCTTTACAGTGTTCACGGATCCACACTTCAATAGTCTACCAGAAATAGTAGACAATACGGGGACGTCTGGCATACTCTTTTCAACCTAATATGCTTTGAGACACACTTATTTAAATCTCACATATTACTTTAAATGGATAGCATGGACATTGGGATGCAGGCCATGGTGATATCAAGTTATTTGGCTCTTTTTGGGCCGCTATGTTAAGCTCTATCGGTAAGGTTGAGTTTGGTTTGGTCTCTTTTCATTCTGAGAGTATTTTTGCGAAGGTTTCCGCTCACCTCATCTCCGTGAGGATAGTGTCACTGATGGTCCATAACAGACCTTAGGGAGCAAATGTGGATCCAGCATCCAAATCTGTTGAGTTGGTCTTATGCTGGCAACTCAGATATGGCAATCAATTTCCTCGGTATGGCAAAGTGGGTATTTTGGAAAATCGTGGCATACATAATAGGGCTTTCAAATAAAAATTTGAATTTTGAAATAATCCTTGAATTTCAACAAAAGAAATAAAAAATGCACATTAGGCTACTGTCACTTTAAGTCCTGCACTCATCGAATATACATGCATTTGACAAGGATCAGATTTTCTCAAACAATTGCTTTCACTTTAGACATAATCAACTGTGTTTATTAGGGGTGGAACGGTACACAGAAGTCACGGTTGGGTTCATACCTCGGTTCAGACATCACGGTTCGGTACGATTTCGGTACAGTGGAGGGAAAAGCAAAACAAAAATGCAGAAGGCATTGTATTTTTTAAATAAGTTTTATTAATAAAGGTATAGAACCAGTTTATTTGTAGTGCACTGACAATAGTTTTATATAATTATTAGTTTATTAATTAAATTAATAAAAAGACAAAAAGACCTTGATTTCTGTATAAAATAATACTACCATTAAAAACACATTCGATTTTCTTTTTTTAATCAATTTAGAACGTGTAAGATTAGTGCTCCGAGGACAAGAAATGAAAACCAATGCAATATGATGAATGTCCAAAAGATGAGACCCACAGACTGTTTTGAAATTGAGTTGGATCAAATTTAATATTTAATATTAATAACAGTGTGTGTGTGTGTGTGTGTGATTTTGGTTGGGTGACAGTTGTAGGTTACAGTTTGACGAGAGTTTACAGTGTGACAAAAGCACAATGTGGTGTTTTATTGCGAGTGTACACAAATATAAGTAAACACTTTGCAGGTTTAATAAACTTAACAAAATTACGGAGTATGTTTTTTATGTTTCCACTGTTCGATCACGCCCACGCCCCTCTCTCTCTCTCTCTCTCTCTCTCTCTCTCTCTCTCTCTCTCTCTCTCTCTCTCTCTCTCTCTCTCTCTCTCTCTCTCTCTCACACACACACACACACACACTCCAGCATTGTAATCTTGACATCGCAGCCTGTTCATTATGCGGTCACACCAAAAGCGAATAGAGCGTCAGATTCGCGTCTAGTTCGACGCTAGTCCAAAGCGAATAGGACGCGCGTATAAAGCCAACGTTTGATGTGAACGCGCGTTCAGAGCTAAGCCGATGGTACAGATTATGTGTCCCTAAAGAACCCGCGTATCTAACAGAAGTTCCGCATTACATTAATTAATTTACACGCGAGTTTAATTTATTTTTATACCGTGTATTCTCCGTGTAAATTCGTGCACCGAACCGTGACGCCCGTACCGTTTCGGTTCAATACGAATACATGTACCGTTCCACCCCTAGTGTTTATGTAAACCTTGTGTGTATTTGACAGTATTAGCGCAATGAGACTTCGAAAGATAACTTAGTCCAGTAACTAGGCGCTGTTAGACAGGCTTTTAGTGTCTGTGCGCTTCGGGTGTTTGCATTCAGAAAAGCGCATGTTAGAAACAGCATGAATGACATGTTTAACCGGCACGGCTTCACAGCACATGCAAATAATGAACTTTTGTGCCGTGAATGTCAAGTCAAGTCACCTTTATTTATGTAGCGCTTTTTACAATACAGATTGTTTCATAGCAGCTTCACAGAGATGAGAGGAAAATAATGCAAAAACTTAGCATCACAGTCCAGTGACGAAAATAGCGTCACAGTCCAGCTTAAGAAAGTTCCCTTGAGGGACGGACGCTGCGTGTAATCGCAGTGGGAACGCCCCCCAGCGTAACGCTTCTGAAGCATGAATGAAATCAGTCAATGGAGAGATGGAGCGTCACAGCAAGTGACGTCATCGACCAGGAAGCTATAAATATCCCCTGAAAACACAAGCCGCCAGCTTCTGTTACTTCAGCAAGCGCTCTGTGTGTGTCTGAAATCTTTTGATTGTGTTTGTCTGTTCTGTCAGGAGTTTATCACTATATATATATATATATATATATATATATATATATATATATATATATATTTATATTTATATATTGTTATTTGATGCCGGATCTATCCTATATGTCCTATATATAGATCCTTTACATCTTCTACCTTATTTTGTTTATACTCTCAGGTAAGGTAAAGTATAGGTCAAATTCTACCATAGATAATAAGCATACAAATTTATACTTACAGTCTAGAAGAAAGACCCCTCCGTGGTTTAGTTCTTTTGTATAAAGCAGAGACTTGTGGCAGGCAATCTTTTTATAATAGTTATAAGTAGATTTATTATAATGGTTATTCAAAGTTTTTCCATACAAAGTAACAAGTTAAAGTTTCAAAATCAGTTCACAAGTTTCACCAGCAGGTGTCAGGCTTGGATCATCAAACAATGGAGAGACTGGCCCATCATCCAGAATCTG